CTTTGACAGATGCATGATAGCATCTAGTCCTATACTACTTGATACACATGTTTAAATGCCTATGAAGGAAGATATATATTTCAGCCTGTGTATTTTTTAATGAACTGTTCCCTCTGCCTGAGTAATTTATTATGTACTAAATATGTAAGCCTTTATTCCATGTAAATCTATGAGTTTATTTTATAAACCTTTATTTTAAAGGTATTTATTACAGGTATGACTAAAGTTCAGCAGCCTTTGGTATTTAAAATACAACTTTCTAAATAATTCTAAGACACTTAATTTCTTAAAAACACTTTGAAATTAAAGCTGTAGTTGTTACAACCATGACTTTTTAAATTATAGTGTTGCGGCCTTTGCCTTCAGCCTTAGACTGTTCTTGGATACATATCCTTTTTCTGACCTCATATGTAGATGCCACTCAGAAGAATGAGTTTGGGATCCTTTTCTGGTAAAGAATCTGTAATTCTTGTTCCTTTTTGGCAGAGAAGGCATGATCAACAACTTCACTCATTTGAAATTGGAAGTTTTTTATGGCCCTAATTCCTAGGGGACACTCTTATCCCCTGTTTTGTACCAGGCCCTGAAAAAGTTTTCTTTTGATACTGAAGTCTGTTGGCTATATTGTAACCTGGTTCTATATTCCTTGCAGAATTGCCGTGCTCTAAACCAGTTGATTAGCGTCTGTTTGTTTATTACTTCCCTTGGTAGTTTAGAGAACATGCTTCTGGGTTCAGGCATCATGTTGGATGCTCTTTGGGGATGTGGGTCATTTCAACTTTGCTGGTTACGCCCATGCAGTCTTTCAGGCTTATTGTTCCATCCTGGTTTGAGCAAGCATATCCAGCATATGGAGAAAGTGAAGAAAGACAGACTAGAAAAAAGTGACTTCCACACAAGTTATTCTTGAAGCACTTGACTATCTCAGTTGAAAGAAAAACCCTGAAATGCCTTTCATCCTGAAGAATCTGCTAATCTGACATCTGAGTGTTTGGCAGAGAAGCAAACTCACATGCAAAGGACTCAGCCCTTTGCAGCCTCTCTCCTTTTCAGCCAGTACAGAGTAAGCACCAGCTACTGAGTAGACATTCATCTCAAGCTTTGGATAGAGTATGTTGGAACTCTCCCTCTAGCTACACTTTTCCCTTATTATGATTAAGCAGTAGAAATACACAGGAATAGGGAACTACTTCAGAGACTCTCTAAGAAAATGCAGACTTGATGGTGGCTTTGTGATGATCCTCTGATGGGATTTGACGCATCTTTCCTTGGTACCAACTGATAGTAGATTCTCCATTTGTGGGCATAACACGGTTAACATCTCTGTCAATTCTAGGTACAGAATGGTGTTTGTAATTTGGGGTGGATACATTGTTACAGCTGAGCATTCACAGCTCCCACCTTTCTGTAATTTCTTATTTGTATAGAAGGTGCATAGCTTGTCCTTTAATTGCCTTGTTTTCAGTTCTGCACACCCATTTTTGTTTCTTGATGTGCAATGGCTCACCTTTATATGACTTTCTGTGGGCATGCGTGCATCTTTTAAGTGATTGCTGATAACTGTAAATACCAAATACCACTTCCTGCAACTAGCAAGTAGAGCTTCCCTTTTCCTCTGGAAGATGAATATTGAAAGTTAAAACTCTGAAATTGTTCTTCTGGGGATGCACTGCACAGTATCCTCCTTGCAGCAGGGCACACACAAATGTATCAAAGTTACGCTGAGCTAAATTCATCAGATAGGAGGCTTGAAGGAAAATCCCAGGCAGGTCATACAGAACCATACCTAGGGTTGAATGCACCCGGACAAAGCTTGCAGAGCATTGCCACTGCACAGCAGGACAGGGTCTGCCATCCTCTTCTTCTGCCTTCTCTTTCCATTAAGCTGTGAAGCCACAGCAGAAGCAGCACCTCTCAGCATTATTTGAAAGCACATTGCGGGCTCTGCTGAATTTGCATCAGACGGTATCTTGAAGGAAGTCTGTCCTAACTCTTCTGTCTGAACTGACGGTTTACATTGGGCATTAGCGGTGGGGTTTGGTAGCAGGGGCTGCAGGGCTGGCCTGTGTGGGAGGAGGTCGTGAACTGCCCTGTGCTGCTACAGCTGGTTCTAACTTGCTCTGGAATGGGTGAAAGCAGCTCACTGTGGGCCAGAACTTCAGAGGAGCATGTGGTGCCTCTGTTCACACATACTGAAGAAAGGGGGCGGCCACAAGGACACATGGGAGGAAACCTGAGGACGCACATGAGGACACACAGAAGGTGGTGGGAGGAGACGAGGAAGAGATGTGCGTTTGGAGAGAGGGAGCAGAGGAGCAGCAAGAAGCAAAGAGCAGGGAGTGAAAAGAGTAAGGTGCAAGGAGAGGCAGCAAGAAACCTCTAGGCCCTGACTCCAGCCTCCTGCGATGGCCGCTGTCTCACTGAGGGGAGTGGAAGGGACTGAGTGAGAACAGGTGGAGCTGGGGTAGGAGTAGGGGAGGAGAAGCGCCAGACTGAAATGGGGCCTGGGAAGGGAAGGTGCTCCCCTAAGTGCTCGTTTAACTCTTGGTCTTTTTTCCTCAATACCTCAATCTGCAATTAAAAGTTTACGTTAATTGGCAAGAAACTAAGTGAATTTCCTCAGTCGAGACTGCCTTGTCCGAGCGGCTCTAATTCCAGAAGGCATTGCAGCACTGCCGTTACCTGAGCAGAAAGAGCTGATGGAAAGCATAACAGTGAAGAGAAATGTGGAATTCAGTAACTTGTCCCTTGTGCGTGGTCAGTGGTCTCATCCATGAGAGTGGATCGTTTGTTCCGTTTCACATAATGGAGAGAAATGCGCAGCTTTAGGGGTGCGCTTTTTCCATTTATACAGCTTTTTTTTTTTAATCAAGCGGGAACTCAGAAGTGCTGTTGAACTTGCTTTACTTCATCCTTCTTGTGAAAATTGAGTTTTCATACTTAATCACTAAAACAGGACAGAAAAATATCTGAAGCATGTACCACCTGTTTTTCCTTTCATCTTGATTCATTCATTAGCTTCCTCATATTAAAAGCCCTCCAAGATACAATTAACCCTTTTTTAATACTGTGATGCTTGAAATGATCATTAAAACTCATTAAAGCAGAGAAACTTACTTTCAAAAGCAGTTTAATATGAAAATTATCCTGATTTCTTTTCTTGTGGGTAGGGTAGAATACTTAGACTATGGCCATCACGGTTTCTGTCTTAACTGACTATTCAAGTAATTAATGATAATTGGTTGCTTTGCATTGCAGAACTGTGCTCCGTGCTAGAAGATACTTTGATGAAATAATTTTCTATAATGGAATGTTGTCTTCTGAGTATGGACTATATAATAATGATATTGTCAGCGAGTCCTTTTTGTCCAGTAAGAAGAAAACATAATTGAAGATAAAAATACATTACAAAAAGTCTTGCTTTTTTCTTCCCCTTTACATTCTTCTGTGTTGTGAATTGTGATGTTGCCACAAGAAAGCGAACCTCTACTTACGTTTGCTGATTTACCAAATTGTTTTTGGTTTTAACATCCTTTAAAATGCACAAACATGCAGCCAATTTTATTTTGGTACTAACTTCAGTGCTCCTACATCGACGTACATGAAGGTTGAATTTCATCTCACTTTAAAAAAAGTCATTTTCTTGTATTCTGTTAATTGCCAAGTCTGTTCCCTGCATTACGTAAACAATCTTAGAATTGAGAAATTGATTAGAATAGACAAAATTCAGAATAACCTTCTAAACTTGTAGGCAGTGTTGTTTTCATCCTGCAAGTTTTTTCAGGATGAAAATGACTAATTGCAAAGAGAAGTACCATGAAGTAAAATGGTGACTTTAAAGCAATAAGCTGCCTTGGGTTTACTGAAACTGCAATAAAACTATCATGAAGCGCTCTCAAAGTGTTGATTTATTGGTACTACTAATATTAGAATTAATAAAATGTAGGATTTACTGGTATGGTTATAGCATTTGTTATCCATTTTATTAGACAACTCAACAGGTATTGTATTGTATAATCATAAGATATTTTATAATCTAGCTTTTACTGAAGCAGAATATTCATAGGGAAAATAGTTTTGATATTTAGCCTTCTCTCACAGAAGTGGGGATACTGCATCTTTATATGGGTCATTTGTTGCTAAACTTCTAATTTTATCTTAAAACTATGACAAAAAGAGCACCATGAAAAGGTTGTGGTTTTGATTATTGTGAACTATATTTGGTAACTGAAATTGTAATTCAGACTAATTCTATTTTCTAAAATATTTGGAAACAATTGTCTTTCTCTTTAAAAAAATATTTTTAAAATATGAGCAGGATTGTTTATGTTCTGAAAATATTGGTTGTTATATACTTAGAAAAAATTGGATAACTAGTGGAATAGGATTTCAGAAGTGCTCAGCATCAACCTAATTCTGTCCAAAAGAGACTGAAAAATACAAGGGCTTAGACCAGTCCTTAGAAATCTCCATGTAGCACATGATGATACTCTTATCTGCCCTCTCAGTGAAGTTAAGGTAAAATTCTACTTAAAATTACAAACTGAGTGAGGTATATGATAATAGCCTATCTATAGGCAGATGTGGAAGCTGTAATCTGCTAGGATTCTTCTTACTTGATGGAAAGCAAGATATGATAGAGACAAAAATTCGGAAGAAAAATTATTTAAAGGGAAAATGTATTTGGATACATGCCTGCACAGAGGTAGGGCAGCATTAGGAATGGGAAAGTATAACATGAATTGCCATTGAGAGCATTGTAGACATTTCAAGAAATAATACAAGTCATAAAAATGTATTACTGATTTGTGCCTTGTTAATAAAATGCCCTAATTCTAATCAACTGTGCAATTATTTCAAACAGACTTTTACAGCTTAGCAGATATGACTTCAGAATGCAAAGCTTTCTCAGCCATGATGATTAGCTGTAGCTACTTATCAGTAACATTGAAAAAAATACTGTGATTCTTTATAAGGTTGTCCTTATCCTTCTCTTTAAGGTATGGGATGCTGTAGATACAGGCTGGTGTTTAAAAACATACTCCTGTCATTCCTGTGCTGTTCGAGCTGCCCGGTGGTCATCTTGTGGAAGAAGGATCCTCAGTGGGGGCTTTGATTCCATGCTGCATTTAACAGATGTAGAAACAGGTAAAAGTCACGTAAGGGTGCATTATAGCCCTATCTTTATTGAGTACAGATAACTTTGGATCTTCTTAGCCTTATTCATTCGTCTAAAAAAATAGATAAAATCTATAGATCAAAGCTAGAATTGTTGAAACGTGTCCCACAAAAAAAAATAATCTCTCAGCAATTAAGGGTAGTTGGAGATATTTAAACACTGAAACGTCATGATCTTAACGTCTATCTTTAACGTCATGATCACATGTAATTTCAGTTGTCAGATACTGCACAGATGAATAGAATGAAACGTGTGGTTTTTTAATGCTCTGTCATGAACATTTGTTAAAGTGTTTGAAGAGCCTCTTAAGGCTGACTTCAGTAACATTTATACATATGGTTAATTTAAACATAGGCTTGTACCTCATTCTCAACTGGGCTGGTTTTAAGTTTGTGCTTAAAGTTAATTAGGTGATTTTTTTTTTTTTCCTTCCCCTGAATTGGACCGTAATTAGGAGTATAGAAACTTAAATTCTGGCAGGAAACCTTGAGACTGAATGTCACAGAAGCACTAGGCTGACAGCGATATGTTTCAAAAGTCGATTTTCTTTAATGATATCAAAATGCAACAGTCAAATTGAACAGGAATGTTATGTGGTATTGAGATATAAATACCAGATTGAACAGGAATATTAGGTTGTAAACACTGCGACAAACACAGTTTACATACAGGTTCAGGATGTCAGCTGGGAACTATCGCTACTGAACCGTAACCAAGTCTAAGCTTAGAATGACGACTCCAAATGCGCATATCACTCACCGATAAGGCGAGGCACTCCATCCCAGGAAGTTTCCTTAGATGGCGTCCCCACCTAAGGGGAGAGTCTCTGCCTGCAGGCCTGCTGCTCTGAGGAAGACTGGCTCAAAGGGGTCGTGGTCATATCTGGTCGGGGGTCTAAAAACTTCTCTTAGGTTGGATTGAGTTGGATTCTCTTAAGTTCCGTTGGATGGGGCGTTTCTGGTGGGCTCAGGTAGCTGGGGTATGTGACTTGGAGCACTCTGTGTACGTGACTCCAGTCACCACAGGTGGCTCAACCCCCAAACTGTGGCTTCTAGTTTTAACTCTTCTCTCAGCAGTCAAGAAGTTTTGGTCTTTATCGGGGTGGGTGCACCTGCCACACTGAACCTGGATTGCTTTGATGCAGCTGTGAATTTGATCTGGGATTTGATTGTTGTGACCTTAACAACTAATTTCCTGGATGCTGTCTCTCGTCATGTCTCCTTCACAAACTAAAGCACTATTATCAGCTATATTTCTTCTCTCCTTTATGTATGTTATCAGCATTCATACAGCATCATTCATTGGAGCTGTACATAACAGGACACCTCTGTGTATGTGTAAATGAAAGATTAGGCCTAAAATAGTACCTGAAGAGATGCAATTTTATTTTTTCCACTTAATTTATTTTAAATGTTTAACTCCTGAAAAGGTGCAGTATTTTTTTTGTAAGACTACAAAAGAAATCCCTACAAAAATTAGAAGCAGTTCTTGTCTAGGAGGGTTTTCTCTTATGTAAAAGTAAGAAGCCCATTATATGTGAATATCTGAAGAGCAGAAGTCCTATTCAGATGAACTGGGAAAGTGGCCAAGGAAATTTGTGAATATTGTTCACATGAAAAGAAGATTCTTTTCCATGCTCTAATAATTTATTTTTCTCAACATTTGTCATACCAAAACTATTTAAATTCAATGATGGCAGGAAAGGAGCTGTTGTAGTTTGGGAATGTAAAACATGTGACACAATTACGGAATATTGATGTTTTGAGAATATTCAGGTTTTGTAATGGGGAAAAGATCTTAATATATCTGATGTAGTAGTAGTACATGAGGTTAATAAACTAAGCCATTAATTTGCCAGACTTGTCTTTTTTTTATTTTCAGTCTCATTGCAGCAACCTCATTTCTAGTCTCGTATATAACTGAATTTACTAATCCAAGTGGATTTAATTTTGACTGTTGTGCTTACAAATTCTAAACAGAATGGCTACCTTCTTAATGGGGTTTAAAGCAGTAGAATAGATTTTATGTGTCTGAGTCATTTGAAGGGACTACTGTGGGGAAAATCTCATCTTGTAAAATCATAGAACAAATTCCAAAGACACATGATTTTAATCATGTACTTTAATTTCTAATGTCTCTTTGACTTAACTGTCCAGTAATGTGATAGTAGTCTGGATTAAGTTGATTGTATTGGTACCTTTGAAAGAAGGTATTTCTAGTGTTTTAGGCAATGACAACAGTAATGAATTATATTTACCAAGTTTCAAAACAGATAAGCGTATAAATGGTTCTTTCCTTACTGACTTGTAAGTTATGTAGTATTTCTAACTACTTTAATAAACTGTATGTGTAAAGGCAAAATGAATGCTTATAGTCCTTGAAAATACCAGATATTCATTATTGCCTTATTTCAAGGACATGGGATTCCTTGTAGCTCCTGTGAACTGCAGCTGTAATGTTGATGTCTGGACCTGACTTTCAGTGATGCACACCTCATTTGGAAAAGTATGATATGAGTGATGGGAATTTTATTCTGATTTCCTACATGTGCAGGCCAGTTTCTGATTTCCTTCCCTGTTGCAAAGCTACTCTTTTTTTTCATACATTTCAGTCAATTCTTTTCAGAGAAACAGGGCAAGCAGTTTGCCTCTGGAATCCAAATCAATTTGATATAAAAAGCCTCATTTCCATTTGAAAAACTCTAAGGCAGCTATAAGATTTTGATTTACATTAGTTCACTGAATCATTCATTCCTCCTCACTCTTCATCAGTGCTGAGATGATTTCTTCTTTGATTAACTTCAGATAGATGTTAGAACTGTTCCTTCACAGATGACTTCTAGATACTTTTTTGGACTGAGGTCTTAATTGTTTTCCATTGCTAGACTGAACTAACTACCACTGTGTTTAAATGCAGTAAATGCATGCCAGTGGGATTTTATAAATAATAATGCTGTCTTTAAAGCTTTATGCTCTTGTCTCTTCTGTATGTTGTTCTGGTTCAGCATTTTTCTAGTCATGTTTGCTAATGTCTAATCTTTCTTGTCTTTGTTTTCAGTATAGATTTTATATATTAAATCTGTGTTATAAAACTTCTACATGTCTTTCACCAAAAGAAACCTAAGAGTCTGAAGAGAATTACTTCTAAAAGTTTAGGAAAGGTTGCAAATACAGCTTTGTACATGGCGTAGCATTGAGCTGCTCAGTTGGGGTTTTTTTGGTCATTTTGTGTTGTTTTTCTGTTAGGAACATAGTTTCTGCCCTGTTAAATCAAAATTGTAGTCTAGCTAATTGTTTGTTCTGGGTCTGATGACAGCTAGTTACAAGATTCTTCAAAGGAATGTGCCAGCATTGTTGTGACAAACAGTGCTAGGATAAATTCTCCAGGAAACTTTGTTTCTAAGCTTGGACTTAAGTTTGCATATCCCTTGTCCTAAGATATTGCATTTTCTGGAGTTATTTCCTTTTTTTTAATCTTTGTGATATAAATAACATCAGAATAGAAGCAAGCACTGGAATCTCGTTAATCACAAAGCAGAATTTTTGTTGTTGGCATAGAAATCCTGATGCAAGGGTAGAAGACACATCCATGAAATCTTATCCTGCAGTTTTACACCATCAAACCTCTTCACCTTTTCAAATGTATTTAATGGAAGTTCTTATATATAAGAAGATCTAAAATGCTGCAAGCAGGAAAAATGGACTGATAGGAACCTCATGAAGTTCAGCAAGGACAAATGCAAAGTCCTGCATCTAGAATGGAGTAATTCTGTGCAACAGAACAGGCTGGTGCTAAACTGGCTAGAAAGCAGCTTTGCAGAAAAATACCTGGGGGTTCTGGTGCTGAGTATGAATCAGCAGTGTTCTCTTGCAGCAAAGAAGGTCAACTTCATCCTGGGGCAGATTAGCAAGTGTTTACCTAGTACATAGAGAAGATGATGCCAGGCTCTTCTCGGAGATGTGCAGTGAAAGGATGAGCGGCAAAGGACAAATGTAGGAACACAGGAAACTTTTTGGCTCAACTCAGGGGTCATCAAACACTAAACCAGAATGTCCAGATAGGCTGTAGAGTCTCTATACTTAGAGATACTCAGAACTTCAGTGGACAGACCCCAAAGTAACCTGCTGCAGGTGGACCTACTTTGAGCCGGGCTTTGGACTAGCTGAGCCCTGGAGGTCCAACCTGCATGCTTTGTTGATGCTATGATGAAAAACAGGGAAGGAGAAGAATTCAAATCATTGAGGTACAAGGAGTTCACTTGTCCTGGTTTGGTGAAAATAAATGCTGTTGTCCAAGTCTTCTTTTTCTAAATTCTTTTTTATAGATCATCATTTATTATCTTAAATGGTCATCCATTGTCCTAACACCAGGATGTCAAGCTAAGACTCTCCACAAATATGGTTTTCTTGAAAACTGTTGTATGTATTCAGAGTATGGGTCTGATCCAAAATATGCATAAAATGTTTAAGGAACTCAAGGTTATTCATGCATCATTTGCGTGAGTGGTTCTGTGGCTACAGTTTGCGTGAGGCAAATTCAGTACTGCAATATGGGGTTTCATAAATATTAGTAGACCAAAACCTGTAGCTGAGCTGCCTGTAAAGATTACTGGTTAATTTTTTTTAATTCTCCTATTTTATTTACATTATTTCTTTATAAAAATAAAGATTTTTGAAAGGTTTCACAAATGTGATAATAATGCAGCAGTCTGAACCAGTGACACTCCCTGGCTTTGTTCATCTCTGCTAACACCACACTCGCGGTCATTTTCTACTAGTGATAGTTCAGACACTTTGTTATTTACAGAGTAGTAAGTAGTGCTATATTCAGAGAGCACTGAAAAAAAATTGCTTTTAAAACAATTCTGGGTCAAGTACATTTGGCATTTAACTTCTGTTATGTCCAGATGTAATGGAGATGCTCTACCAACTTTAGAAGGGTAATTGTGTTTTTAAAATTTATTTATAAC